GAGGGGTCGCTATGAGTCAGATCTGACTTGATGGTACTAACAACAACAAATGACTTGAACAAAGTTGGTAAATAAACTTTGAAATTGCTGCTCCATTTATTCTAAGTGCAACTATGAGTGTTTAAATATTGATTACTTCGATAGGCTCTTATGCTGCTAAACCAGATGCTCTCACATCAATTCCGGCTCATGGCAACCCATGTGTGCCAAAGTAGAGCTGTGTTCCACAGGGTTTTCAATGGCTGATTGCTCAGAAGTAAATCACCAGGCCTGTCTTCTGAGACACCTCTGAGTGGACTCAAACTACCAACCTTCTGGTTAGCAGTCAAGCATGTTAACCATTAGCACCACCCAGGAACTCCATTTATACTGCTGGAGTCCTTTATACTGGCACTAATGATTTTCTATTTACTAAAAGGAAGAGACTTGCCAGTGATTTCTACCATACTACCACCACCACCACTCCACCTTTAGTAGGGTTGGGTGTTTTTGTACAGACAACACACTTCCCTAGTTTTAGTGAATATGATCCTTATATAATGAAATGCCTTTCAATGAATTTAAGGAAATATATGGGAATCTGAACTTAGCATATTTAAACTTTTTCATTTCTAGCTCATTAATGAAATTTGCAATAATCATTCTTTAAAATATCACAAAATGGTATCAATTAACACTGAAAACTCATTAGATACTAGAATATCATGCTGTGAGTACTGCAGGAGCCCTGGTGAGACAGTAGTAGCTCTGCTGCTAACCAAAAGGTTGGCAGTTCAAACCTACTAGTGGCTCTGCAGCATATTTCTGTAAAGATAATAACCTTGGAAACCCTATGGGGCACTTCTAATCTGTGCTATAGAGTCACTATGAGTCAGAATTGACTCTCTAGCAACAGTATGAGTAGGACACAATGTGTCTCTACAAGGCTGCCCTGAGCATCATAAAAAAATAATGAAGACATACACTTTCTTGGCTCACACAGATTATCTTTGATCTAAATCCAGTTCAATATACTTTGTGTATGAATGTGCTATCATAAAATACAAAACTAAAATTTTTACTGAATACTATTTTAAATTTGGTGCTAGCTGCAATTCTACCAGGTCATAGGTCCTTCCCCTTCTAAACAAGATTCTAACTGGAATCACAGCTATTACAACATGGGAGGTGTGGGGGTATTAAAGAATGATAGCAGTTCATATTGGTTGCCCTTCCCTGATACTGCCAGATTAGCTATAAATAGCGTGAGGGTGCCTTGCTCCATTGCTCCATTATTAAAAAGATCTACTCTTAATAAAGGAGCCCTGGTGGTGCAGTGGTTAAATGCGCAGTTGCTAACCAAAAGTTGGCAGTTTGAACACACCAGCTGCTCCATGGGAGAAAGATGTGGCAGTTTGCTTCTGTAGAGTTTATACAGCTTAGAAACCCTATGGGACAGTTCTACTCTGTCCTACATGCTCACTATGAGTCGAAATCAACTTGACAGCAGTGAGTTTGGGTTCTTTGGTTAATCTTACTATATCAGACTTATGGACTGTTGGGCAATACTACAATGACCCCCATATATTATTCATCCTTTCCCTTTCTTTCTGGGGAGAGTCTGTCTTATAAATCCCTTTCCTGCACAGCTCAGTACTGACAAAACTATTCAAAAATAAGAAAAGGAGACTACCACTGACTGAAAAATCTAGGCTGATATAACTCTGCCTCAAGCAAAATAAATGTCTGATCACAATGCAGATTTTAAGCTATTAGTATGTAGGAAAGCAATCCAAAAGGTTTGCTATTATTCAGAATGAGAGGCAAAAAAAATTCTGAGGACTTAAAAATGACTCAGTATCATTAGACAACAGATACACTTTAGGAAAATTCAAGTCCAAACTGGCGTTTTAGAAAAATTCACATTTAAGATCATTTAAACTTTTATTTTTAGTGAACAAATGCAATTACTTGGGCACAGGATGTGAAAATCAAGCGTTCCTCCCATTATGTAATACAGAATAAACTTGTTTAAATGCTGAATTGTACACATATTCTCTACTATTTTTTCAAGTTTTAAAATAATTGATACCAAATAACAATTAGAACCACTAAACCAGTTGCCATGGAGTCTCTCCTGACTCACAGCGACCCCCTTGTGTGTTCAGAGTAGAACTATGCTCCACAGGGTTTTCCATGGCTGATTGATTGGAAGTAGATCACCAGGTTTTTCTTCCCAGGCACCTCTGGGTAGAACTGAACCTCCAAACTTGTGGTTAGCACCATTTGTGCCATCCAGGGACTTCTAAAAACTAGAACTATACCAGCATGCAAATAAAAATGTCTGTGGGTCTAGAAGCAGGAGGCATGTGTTAGTCCATTAACTCACAAAGTTCAAGCACACAAAAGTGTCAGCAAATATCCAGGAAACCCCTCTACCCTCCAGTATAAATTTAGTATAGTAACAACAACAGAAATGTCTGAAACCATTGAACCATTAAAAGAAAACTAAATCTTACATGCAACATTTGTTACTTGCAGACAGAGTAGAATTCTCCTGCAGAATTGTTGAGCGGGAAACACCATTGAAACCTCCCTGGAGTTCCAAGTGTAGATGGTCCAAAAGGTAGCGCATGAATTCATGGGCATCCTGCTGCTGATAGCCCCTTAAAGCAAAGAGAAACACTTGGTCAATAGGGAGGCTCCACCTGTCCACTCCATCATACAGGCGGGCAAAGCACTGGAAACAGCTCCAGCCATGTGCTTAAGAAGCATAGCTAGGCTTCACCCTCACTAACTTCATTTTTACACATAAAATCTCCTTTCATGAAAAAATTCTGGATTTATAAATAAGCTGGAAAACTACAGAACATTAGATCCAACGCCTTGTACCAATCTCCTCAATTGACCTCCTCACTTACCTAAGGGTCCTGGATGGACTGTGAATCTTTCCATCATCCCACTGAGCCTTTCCAAAAGATGCTCAAAGGCTGAAATTCCACATCATACCTTTACCAGAAAACTAGGTCTAAACCACATTAAAAAACAATCTGCCTAATGTACATTAATGAATGTTTCCAACTGCACCATGACCCCCTTTTTATATCAAAACACATTATACTCTCAAGTTTCCTCTACTGTCAGAAACACATTTTTTAGCTTCATGAGATCACAGAACACTCAGCCATTCTATAGATGTAGGTTACGGGTTTCTGTTTCAATTGTGATACTGACCAGAAAACACAGTCGCTGCTTCTGAATTTTTGTGATTCTGACAAAATAGACATTATCATTTCTGAAAGCCTTAATACACATTATTTAGTATGCTAAACTCAACAACCTTCAGCTATCTTTTAAATTAATTTTTAACAGCGTTTCCTTTGTAGTCAATGTAGGTTCCTCTTGTTCTGCAGTCACATTAAAGGAAACATTCCTCATACTTTAGGTGCAATGTTTCTGTTTCTATACAAATTATTTCAGTGATGTCACCCAAGCAGTGTTTGTGAAGTAGTGAAGACACAGATTTATGATGATTCAAATGGTGTCACTGTGACAGACCAAAGAGAAGAGCAAAAAGATGACAAAGGGGAATAACAGTGCTTTCAACTTTACACCATTCCTTACAGTCACTTGTTTGTGGCTTCAGATAACTACTAACCTTTCTCCTCAATGTCTACATAAAGAGCAACAGAAAATCTATGTCATGAAGAGGCTGTGAGCAATATCACTGAAGACTACACTGCAAATATATTAAGCCTAAATGACCATGAAGCTCCCTTCTGAATGACAGGGCTAAGAAAGAGGAATACTGCTGCAACACATGCACAGAAACATGGAGGCAGCTGTCTTTTCACAGCCATTTTTGGCACAAAGAAAACAAACCATATTTATCCAACTCTTAAAGAAATATTCCAATAAAGAATTATCAAAGAAAATGGTACTTTACACTTGGCTTGAGTGAGGAAAAGAGATTTCAAATAATGAAACAGATACTATTGAATAGTGACAACATACATGTACTATGTGATGCCACAACATGCACCATTATGCCATATACCTGCGTAATACTGATTATTCTCTGTGCTTGGTAGTGGCAGTACATAATCTATAAAATGGCACAGATCAATAAAAAATGCATGTCTCTATAGAATCACTTTTTATCATTCTAGAACACATTTCCTCTAAAATACCCAGGACATACTAGAATTTAGGTTTGTTCATATTTAAAATATCTTTAACATTCACAAAAGCATTTCAAAGTATTATTTTGTCTAAAATATCTGCAAAACCAAAAAAAGTGTAATTTAGCTATTACTGTTCAGTATTTGGGAGCTCTGGTAGCATGGTGTCTAAGGCACTTGACTGCTAACCAGAAGGCTGGTGGTTCAAACCCACCAGCCACTCAACGGAAGAAAGATGGGGCAATCTACTTCCATAGTGATACTGCCTCGGCAACCAAAGGAGGGGTCGCTATGAGTCAGGTCTGACTTGACGGCACACAACAACAACAACAACAACAACAACAACAGCATTCAGTATTTAGTACCCTCTCATGGCTGAGATAAAAACATCAGAAAATAAAAATGAAGTGTTGGACTTCCAGTAAGATGGAGGAATGGGCAGAAAAGCAACACAGACCCTCTTCAACAAAGAAAAGAAAAACCAGTTGACAGAGATACAGAAGATAATCCTGGAGCCCTGATCTTTGAAAGGAACTATACAGAAGTGGATTAGGCACCAACTAGTGGAAAAACCTGAATGAAAACAGTGAGTACAGAGACGGTCGGAGCTGCGGACTGTCAGCTACTCTGACGGGACCAACAGCCTGAATATTTCCAAGTGGTGTTGGGACCTGACAATTGACTTAAAGATCAGCCCTGGTCACCAAGGGCTGCAGGGATGAATGTGCTGATGGCCTAGGATTAGGAAGGGAAACATCAAGGGGGGAGACAACCTGAGCTGTGGCTTTTCCGCTCTCCAGAGGGTGCAGCCATTTTGGCTGTTTACACGCGGCAGCCATTTCAGACATTTAAAGTGACTGTGGGCATAGCCATTTTGGATATATAAAGTGACTGAGGGTGCAGCCATTTTGAATGTTTACAAGCAGCAGCCATTTTGGATATTTAAAGTGACCGAGGGCGTAGCCATTTATAATCTCTACAAGTGGCAACCATTTTGGATTTTAAAGTGATAGCATTCTCATTCAGATTCTAGGGACCTAAGAATAGGTTCTGTTTGCCAAGGTTGGCAGGGAAACATGAAAGGCTGACAACAGGAAAGGAGACAAGTGGTGAGTGTATAGTGCTGTCAACTAGCAAATAGAGGAGCACAGTACCCTGTTTGGGTACATAACATACAAACAAAACAAAGAAAACGAAAACTGTGGGCAAGTCACTCCAATATACAATCACCAATTAAATATAAACACAAAAAGGTCACAATACCTCAGAGACAACAGCATCACAGTCCACACAAAGAAACAAGATAAAGCACGAGAAACAAGGGACCAGGATTCAGACCCAAAACACATCCCTGAGGAGGATGCAGCAATGGAACTCCCTGATAAGGAATTCAAAAGAATTATATTTAGGTATCTTTAATGAATTGAGAGACAGATCAAGGAAAACACAGAGAAAACCCTAGAACAATTTCAAAAGAAAATACAAAAACAAAATGACAAAAGAAGTGAAAAATTAGAAATGATACAAAATCTACACACAGAAATCCAGAAAATTAATACCAAATTTTCAGAAATAGAAAAGACATTCAGTGGGCAAAGGAGCAGAATTGAATCAATGGAAGACAGAATTAGGGAGATTGAGGGCAAATACCTGAACACTTCATTGGAAAGGGACAAATCAGAAAAAAGATCAAAAGAAAAATCCTATGTGTAATCAGAATTCCAGAACAGGAAGGAACAAATAAAACCACAGAGAAAATTGTTGAAGATTTGTTGAAAGAGAATTTTCCTGGTATGATGAAAGATGAGAATACATCCATTCAGGAAGTCCAACGAACCCCAAACAGGATAGACCCTAAAAGAAAATCACCCAGACATATCATCATCAAACTTACCAAAACCAAAGATGAAGAAAGAATTATGAGAGCAGCACGGGAAAAACAAAAAGTTACCTACAAGAGACAACTAACAAGAGTAAACTCGGATTTCTCGACAGAAACCATGCAGGTGAGAAGACAATGAGATGGTATATATAAAATCCTGAAAGAGAAAAATTTCCAACCAAGAATTATGTAACCAGCAAAACTGTCTCTCAAATATGATGGTGAAACTAGGACATTTCCAGATAAGCAGAAATTAAGGGAATTTGCTAAAATCAGACCAACCTTACAGAGATGCTAAAGGGTGCCCCTTCAGACATGAGAAGCAACAAGAGCCAATAACAACTGACCATTAACACACATGATGATATTACCCAGAAACCAACCCAGCTATGGAAGTACCCAAAGTAAAGAAGCCTACAAGGTTGTGAACAGGGAACCAGAAACATCAATTGACAAATGAGGACAACTATAAACCAAAAAGAGAGAAAGAACTGTGTTGTTACAGAACTTCTAAATGGTAGGGAAGTCAAGACAACTACAAGATAGAATGAACTGTTCTAAACTTGGGGAGAAAACTATAAATCACAGGGTAACCTCAAAGAAAAATGATAAACCTTCACACCAAAAAAGAGGACCAGCATAAATATTCAGCAAATACTAAAACAACAGCAATGAAGGAAGTGATAACACGATTCATAAACAAAACAAGCTTAGCATAGAAAACTATACGGAACAAAGAAATGGACACCACGAAAAAGCACATAACAAAAATGACAGCAACAAATTCATATTTGCCGATAATTACGTATCTGGCAAGGGACTTATCCCTAAGATTTATAGTGGAAGAATGGATGACCAAACTATGGTACATACACATAATGAAATGCTATGCAGCACTGAAGAATAATGTAGAGTCTGCAAAACACTGCATAATATGGATAAACTTGGAGGACATTATGCTGAGTGAAGTAAGTCACACAGGACAAATATAGTATTAGTTCATTGTTGTGGAGGGTCAAGGAAAGGTTTATATATGCAGGGAAACTTTTTTTGTTGGTTGCCAGGGGTGGGAGGGGAGGGGAGGGAACACTGAAAAAACAAAATGCATTGACCCATGTCACTTTGGTTTTGTGTATTTCACTGTACATAAATTATATTTCAATAAATGCATTTAAAAAAAATGAAGCTTTGCTTACAAACACACACCAGAAAAAACTCTACAACAGTAAAAGTCCTATTTAGAAGAAATAATAATATAAAATATCAACAGCACAGTATTTTTAACATCCTTTGCTATTTATAAATAACCCAAAAGACAACTGTTAGATTAAAATATCACAACATCTATTATCTACAAGGTAAAGCAGAGAACAGCTAGTATATATAAGAATTATGTTTAATTTTATTCATCATCATTTTTAAGCATGAACCATAACCAGAACTGATAGACACTTGGAAAAAAAAAAAGTCTCTGTTTTGGGAAGTCAAAGCAAATATATTAAATTCACATTGTACACTGTGACTCCCCCCAGATGACTGAGTGGAATTATGTAAATGGGAGGTGTTTTGTGGCCCACCAAGGGGACTGGATAGCTGTTAGTAATGTCAAAAAGATACATGGCACCCTTGTAGGGATGGAACCATACAAATAAGGTGTATGGAACCCTAATGTCAAGACTGATCAGTTTTGTCATTCCACCAAAATAAGCCCTCCCAAAGGCAGAAGTGATGATCTCACTACCATCAAGAAAGAAAAGCCAGCAATAGAGCATGTCCTTGAGCCTGAGATGCCTGCGCTGAGACGGTGGCATAGAGGTAGCAGAGAGACAGTGGCAGCAGAAGCAGCAGAACTAAGAGAGAGAAGTAGGCTTGCTAGCCCAGAGTGAGAAAGCTGAATGCCTTGGGCAGTAGGCTTGCTGGCAGAGTGGGGTACACACTGATGCATCCATCGTTGTTGTTATTTGCCGTCGAGTCGGTCCCGACTCATAGCGACCCTTCCTTGGGTTTCCGAGGCAGTATCACTACGGAAGTAGGATTGCCCAGCCTTCCTTCCGAGGAGTGGCTGGTGGGTTTGAACCGCCAGCCTTCTGGTTAGCAGTCAAGTGCCTTAGGCACTATGCTACCAGAGGCAGAGCTAAAAAAGCTTTGTAACACTTGCCCAAGCAGGGTAGAGGCCAGGCTGAGAAGCCAAGGGCCAAAGAGAGGCATGCCTACAGGTATGGCTGAGGGGAGACTGTCCTGTTGAAGAATTGTATCCTGAATGTTTCTGAAGGGAGACTGTCCTGTTGAAAAATTGTATCCTGAATGTTCCTGAACCTGAAACGTAACCTGTTACTTCCCTAATAAACTCCATAATCGTTAGTTTTGCCTATGCGTTCTGTGTGGCCACTGAAACAAATTATTGAACCCGACAGAGAAATAGAGGGTGCTGTGGGAGGGATAATTGGTGTCAGAAATGGTAAAAAGATTGGAAGGTGGTGGCATGTCTGACTTCTGCCTCACAGCAATCAGCCTTGGGCTGATAGTGATTCTGTCTCTCCCTTGTGAAGTTAGAGGATGTCAGAGGACGCCGCCCTCATGGTTTTTTTTTTTTCTGGTCTTTTTTTTTTTTTTTTGGGCATACAGGAAAGCAGAAATACCACATAAATGCTATGAAAAGCAAGGGAATGAACATCATGACCTCAGCTGAATTATCAAGAGACTTTCCTGGAGAATGGTTAGTATTAATCGGGATCCTAAAGAGACAGAGATGCATTGTGGTAAACTGTGGTCAATGACATGAGACAAAGTATATGTGAACTGCTGTATATAAAGTGAATTTGCTCTGTAAATCTTCACCCAAATCACACACACACACAGAGACCACAGGGCAGAAAGCAAATGGTGTACAAAGATACCATGACAACAAGCCAAGATCATGTTAAAGAAAGCAATGAGTAGGAAGACTAGCAGAAAACACTGCCAAAACTAAAAACTACAAATGCACAGACCCTCTGACCTAGCAACTCCTCTTGTTGTTGTTATGTGCTGTTGAGTCGGACCCGACTCAAAGCGACACCTCCTTGGGTTTCCGAGGCAGTATCACTATGGAAACAGATTGCCACATCTTCCTTCCGAGGAGTGGCTGGTGGGTTTGAACCACCAGCCTTCTGGTTAGCGGTCAAGTGCCTTACACACTGCACTACCAGAGCTCCCAACTCTTCTTATATACCTGCAAATGTACATGTAAGACTCTTCATAGCAGCACTGTTTGGAACAGCGAAACATCAGAAACAATCCACATAACCACACGGAGGGAGCTATTACATAAACCATGATACAACCATAAAGTGGAACAGTATGCAGGCATAATACAGATTGAGGAAGCCATTTATATACTAAGATGAAATCATCTCAAAGTAGGAAACTAAAAGATGACATGTTACCATTTATATTAAAAATGACAAAACACATATGCCCATACACATACACACACATATTTGCTTGAATATATACAAAGAGTATCACTGGAAGGACACAAAAATCTGGTAACTATGGTTGTCTCCAGAAAGCAGAATCAATGGCTGGAGAACAGTAGGGAAAAAAAAAAATTTACATTGTATATCCTTTTTTACCTTCTAATTTTGAACCATGTGTATGTATTGTGCCTAACAACAACAACATACAAAAAAAGACTAATTGCTCTTCCATATAGGTCTGTTACAAGAACGTTACTCTGTTTTGGTCAATGACATGAGACAAAGTATATGTGAACTGCTGTATGAAAAGTGATTTTGCTCTGTAAATCTTCACCCAAATCCTAATTTTAAAAAAAAAGAACGTTACTCTGCATACCTAAAAGGAATAACAACTCTAAAAAGAAAGCCCTGCCTCCCTGCCTCACACCTAGACATTGCACAGTGATCCTGAACTAAAGCTTTACCCATTACATAATCTCCAGACCCAGAACTAACCAAGACAAAAATTTTTCATTGATTATATGAATGGAGAACACCCTCAATCAGCTGCAGAAGAATACAGGTGTATCCTATTTTTATCAGTGACTAAGAAAATGTAAGAGTTCAAGTGTATCAGGAATCACCCCCAGACACACCATGCCAAGTCTCTCAATTTGGCTACTTTTTCTAAAAGTTCTGTTTCTTCCTACGAAGGAATATACTAAGGAATATAACAGCTATGAAGCTGTTATCTTTTCCTACTAAGGAATATTAGAATGTGTAAAACTAATCAGCTGAATACTAAATCATGTTCAGCTAGAGCTGACTACAGAAACTAAAATTGGCAGAGATGCAGACAGACTTCAATGAAAAGCAGCATTCTATTAAATAAAACTATCACACTATTTCTAAACTCCAAATTAAGAATGAGCAAACTGGATCACCATAAGGATTAAGAAGAACAGTAAAAAGTTCATGGGTCTCATGTAGAAAAATTACTGCTAACACATCTATTACAAAGCAACTCCACAAAGACATGGGTTTAAAAATCTGGTTGCAACTGCTACCAGATGTGTAACACTGAACAACTTGCTTCCCTTTTCTGAGTCTCAGTTTTGTCTTCTCCAAAAGGGGGATAATAACACTTCCTACCTTACCCAGAATTTTGTTTTGCTTTTTTTTAGTGAAGATCACATATAAAATACCTAAAGTTCTTGGCCTGCAGTAGGTATCCAATAAATGGACACTATTATATATAATAATAAACTGTAAAGGTTAAATTCTCATCAAACATCAAATTAGGTGAATATCTTAGAAATTTTATATGAAGTCCAAACCTGATTAGAGGTAACTTAACAGTCATTCCCACCATTCCTACTGATGAGTCAAGAAAAAGAGTCACACAAAATTGGTCTCTACTAAAAGGAGATTTTGGGAGCTTTGGTGGTGTAGTGCCTAAGGCATCCGACTGCTAACTAGAAGGCTGGTGGTTCAAACCCACCAGCCACTGCTTGGAAGGAAGGTTGGGCAATCTTCTTCTGTAGTGATACCACCTCGGAAAACCAACTCGATCCTTGGATCCAACTCGATGGCAGTGAGTTTAAAAGGAGATTTTAATGGCATCACATTTTGAAGTTTCTTTCAAAAAAACACCAAAAATAACAACAGTCACTCATGTCAGACTCTTATGGTTAGATTTTTAAATAACTCAACAAATTACAGTGCTATGAAGCTGTTATCTTTTAAGCATTTCTCTACATTAACAACATATTTAAATTATTATCAGGTAATAGGGCAAGGTGTATTGCTACAGCTAAGTTTTTTTTTAAAAAAAAAAAAAAAGGAAAGGGAGCTGAAAACCATGATTTGCTTCAGGAGGATAAAATCAGCAGGCAGCAAGGGTGCTGTCAAACACCGGCAGTGCCCAAAATCTGCTATTACTCAAATCTCTACTGCAACGACTAACCTAGGAGAAGGGGCAGGGGTCCTCTGAACACGGGAGCACATCTGTACAAAGGCAATGTTAGAGAGAAAGCACAAATTCAATGGCCACATTAGGATCTGGTTCCACTACCTTCTGTAAAATGAATTCTAATAGACTTCATTACAGTCTTCTAAGAGATTCAGAACCCAGACTAGAAACAGTGGATATAATACCATGGATTTCTAATGACTGTATCTGCATTTTTTTTTAGATGGAACAACTAAATGATAGCGATTATTCTTTATAAGATTAAAATAATTAAGGAAATGTCCAGTAAGTTTTCCTAAAGATGTAAGTTATTCACAAGTACTTTGTTTTTACAACAAAATACCCTACCCTTTGTCAAAGACATTTCTAAAACATCTATTATTTTTAAAAAAACATGTTTGTTGAGTTGGATACATTCAACTTCTGCTCTTCCCCCTACCCCCCCCCAAAAAAAAACCAAGTCTTTATCATTTAGAATACCACTGCACTGAAAATTGTTTTAGGAACAGTATAAAGAGTAACATTAATGTTTTTAAATCTCTTTCATTAAGTAATACTTACCTAAAATTTGGCATAATCTTCCAAACAACATAAAATAAGGACTCTGGGCTAAATGCAGTCTGGCTGCCTTGCCATAGAGCACAAAGTGTCTTTCTAAACTCTTCCACCAAAGACCTGGAAAAGAAGAAGGGAAATATTTACCAGTAGCATTAGTAAGAGGCTACTATTTCAATCCATAATGTCCAACTGTCTAAAATGCATAGCAGATAAATCAAAAGTGAAAACATAAGAAAGGTTTGGTCTTTTCTGAACTAAGTCTGACAGTTAAGTAGGAGAATCTCAAAAAAAAAAAAAAAACCCACAACAGTAATTTCTGATAAAACTAGTTCTTTAACCATATGGTGAGTTTTGAAGGTACCGAATACTACTATACTTGTACACTTTGAATTTTTTAAAAAAATATTCAATAAAGCAGTATATAACTCATAAGCCAAGAATATATATTTAACAATTAATAAGTTAAATAATTAAAACAAGTAATAGTTTATTTTCCAGCTCCTGCTTTTTCCTTTCTTACCCCTCACTAGGAGCATGTTCCAGACTTTGGCATGTGACCATCTCTCATTTCTGCCTCATTAAGTATGCCTGACCACAAAATTTCACTACTCAATTCTACCTCAAAGGCTTTCAACTCCAAATCTTTAGGCCAGATCTTCTCATGGCCACTTTTATTCAGGTTTCTCCAGTTTCCAACAGGACTTTTCTACTTGATATCCTCCTGTCACTCCAAACTCAAGGTGTACTAAATTCTTTGGATGTCCACCTACCCTCCCTACTCTCCTCCAATACCCACTCTCCTCTTCTTCCCCAGGAATAAAACTTCCATTTTTCTGCTGTAAACATGACCTCCCAGAATGAAGAACTGTGAGTATGTTCAACTTCTGAGAAATGTCCTTAAAGGGAAAAAGTAGTCCTCCTTATTCATCTCTTCCTTCTTCCTGCTAGAATGAGGACGTAATGGTAGAGCCCTAGCACCATCTTGGATTACGTGGGTAAGAGCCCCCACCCTAGTGTTTGTGGAACAGAAAGCTAAAATGAGTCTGATGACTTTGTGAAATAACCCTAGATAGACAGCTTCCAACTTTTTACATGATAGAATAAATCATGGATGTTTAAGTCATTGCTAATTTTGGTTTTCTACATAAGTAGCTAAACTGATACACTTCCTCAACTTCAGTGACCATATCTATCAATATAACTCTTGGATACTTAAACGATAACTCAGAGATTCTCAATATATTCTTTCTTATCCCTAAATTTTTATTGTCCAGTACCTGAACCCTCTTTCCTGTTTGGGAAATCTCCCACCTTAAGACACTTGGTGACACTTTCAGCCCACTACAGAGGCTGAAAAGGCCAGATACTTGCTTTCTCAACTTCTCTTGTAGTCAGGACACGGGATGTGACCTGAGCTCTACATCTGAAGCAAGAGTTAGTAGCACAAAGCAACAAGGGAGCACCAAATCCTCTCTAGTGGCAACAGCATCATCTAGAGTTCAGGTGCAGCAGTAACAGCAGTGCTCACCCAGCACCCATTTCCAGTGGTGCTGACAATGTGAACTGTAGTACTATACCACACAGCAGTGGCAGATGTGTCCTCATGGGACTAGACTTCAGACTTGGAGTCCAGACTTTCTGCCCATCCAATAATGGCTAGCTCACCAATAGCCCTTCAACAAATTCCTTTTCTGCCTAAAATGGCCCAGAGGCCATTTCTGAATTTGTAACTAAACCCTAAATAACAACACTAATACATCAAGTACTACTAATGCTTCCCTTAACTTTAATACATGTGTATTTTTCTCCTTTTCCTTTCACTACTGTAGCTCTGGTAGCATAGTGCCTAAGGCACCTGACTGCTAACCAGAAGGCTGGAGGTTCAAACCCACCAGCCACTCCTCAGAAGGAAGGTTGGGCAATCCTACTTCCGTAGTGATACTGCCTCGGAAACCCAAGGAGGGGTCACTATGAGTCGGGGCCAACTCAATGGCAAATAACAACAACAACAACTGTCCCATCCAACCTGATGACTATGATGTTTGAATGCTCCTTGAATGCAGGCACTTGCAGGCTCATCCCATATGCTGCCACCAAGGAAGTTCTCTTAGATGTCACTTCCAGTGATGCCATTCCATCCCTGCTCCAAAACCTGGCTTTAAAGTTTCCCTCATACTTTGGCTCTGTCCTTACTGTCCAATATTCTAAAATGTTCTTTCCCATTCTCCCTCAGCAACCTAGTCAGGACCGTGTCAGATTACAGGACACCTTTTCAGAATGTGTGGGAATGGGAGTATGTGGGAAAGCATTATACTCAACAGATACAGATTATAAGTCAGAGTCCTATTTTCAGTAATGTTCAGATAAGAAAAAAATGTCCCCCTTACAATCATGAAATATGATAGGTCTTCTAAACATGAAACAGTTTTGGCTGCACTGAACTTGAATACAGGATTGGCCTTTAATAACCACTTATCCATTTTTTTTCCCTTCTCTTCATATTAACTAAAACTTGACTGCATTGCCTTGTAAGTAATTTGCTGACTACAAATTAATTTTATTATCCAAAACAGGTTTACCTAAAAAATATCAGACAAGTCAATTCACATTGACCAATGATATTGATACTGGTCTACCTAGAACTGTATTTCATATACAGATGTCATCAATTGTAGGATGCCCAAATTTGCAAAACCTCAGTAAGTAGAAGGCTAAATTTATCCTGCCTGTTATGATAAATACAAAAAAAAAAAGAAAAAAGAATTCCAGTAATTATTAAGATGGCCAGCTAGGTACTTCAGCACAACCTTTAGAAAAAATTTTTAAAATTTTTATTTATGCCTATTAATTCACATAATGCAGTGAAAACCACCAGTAACAGTCATTGTTTGCAGCCCAAAGCCAGAAATAACATGTTCTAATAACTCACACATTGTTATCCCCTTGGCTCCTGGTGTGATATGTTCGCCTTCCTGCTGTTTTCCCATTCCTTAACTCCACAGCGGGCAGTTCTTTGAAATAACAGCAAAACTGCTCAATGTTACTATTTTAAAAAGAAAGGAAGAAAATTAATACAAAAAAAATTTAACAGGACTGTAAAGAAAATTTTATGACAAAAAAAAGTCTATATTCTTTAGATTTTGAAAATGTAATCATTTAATCATCTCATTTAAACTGCCTTCTCTTGCACTAAGTTTCTTCATTAAATTTGTTCATTAACTCCAAAACAAGCAATATGGACAGATGACCAAAACCCTTACAGAGTAAGATGACTCTTACTCTATTCAAAAAACTCTGCAACCCTCCCTACCACCCACCCCCACCCCAGATCTGTAAGTTGTCACCATTTCTCTTTTCAGGGTGCCTGTTTCCAGGTATTCAATAATTTCCTCAAGTAAAAAGATCACGAAACCAACTATATCATTTAGATACACTACACAGTGTAATGATTAGAGTTCAAGAGAAACTAGAATTCCTTCTATGAGCATGAATACGTAAGCTAAGAAGTAGTGCCTTTAGGGAAAGATCAAATATAGCTTCTATGCCTTATTAGCAATGTGACCTTAGGAAAGTAATTTATTCCGGTCTTTAATGCCTTGTTAAAACCTAAAAGCACACAACTTTGAAAAATAATTTCTTTTACTTAGGTCAGCCTCATTGGATATTTTACTTTTATCACTTTTTTTCCCCCTAACCTTCTAAAGACCAAGTCTTCTAAACACCAAGTCTTAATAACCATATGTAATATTCAACTAATGATTGAAATAAGCTCTCTTATCTATCTCTAAATAAGCCTAAAGGTTGGCAAACTATAGCCCACAGGCCAAACCCAGCTTTCAGCCTATTTTTGTATGGCCTGCAATTTTTGTTTGGCCAGTGAGCTAAGATTGGTTTTCAAATTTTTAAAAAGTTATTTTAAAAAAGAAAGAAAATATGTGACAAAGACTCTATGCAGACTATTCAGACTAAAATATTTTCTATCTGGCCTTTTACAGAAAAAGTTTCATGCTCCCTGCTTCTGCCTATTCAAAAAAGCAACAGGAAATAGTAATAACAGCAGCTAACATTTACTGCTAGGCATTATTCTAAGCACTTTATATCAATTATATTATTTACTCCTCTAAAATACCCTGTTGTTGTTGTTGTTATGTGCAACTACCCTAGGAAGTAGGAATTATTATGCCTTTTTTATTTTTTAAATGATGAGGAAACTAAGGCACAGGGAAGTAAGGTTATTTGCCCTGCCAGCCACAGGACTAGAGTAAGTGATAGAAACCAGATCTGAACCCAGAGCCTTTGCTCTTAACCATTCCCCTAGAAACTAACATTAGACACTTAAGATACAGTACCTGAGTGACTGAAGGATGGCATTCATGAAACACGTGTTCCCCAAATTCCGAAGGCCTGTGGCACAAATAGCAGTGGTGCTGCCCTATAAAATGGGACAAGAAGAGAGATCATTAGCAGCACCAACAGAAAGCCAACTAATATTTCAAGAAGCAAAGCAAAACAATAGCCTCTATTTGAAAGTCTAGCAAGAAGCCAATTTGGAATTGGCTCTGTTCTCTACGATGAATATTTCAAACACTCTTTCCCACCTCTATGTAAGTGTCTAGATATTTTTAGAAGGCTCCTTCTGATCCTGGGATTGCTCTCAGAGGGAGAATCTTATGGAGTATATGAGGAAAACGGCATTAGTAAGTACCAAGAAGTACCCATTGCAAAAACAAACCACCAACAACACCAAAAAAAAAAAAAAAAGGAAGATTCTTAAAAGAAACAAAATTTAAGGCTTAATGCCTGTATGACACTCTATTAAAACTATCAGAAACCTAAAAAAATACAAATATGTATGCTCCAAGTATGTTTGTCCCCAAACTTTTAACTCTAAGTCATGTATGAATAATCAATGTATGTATGTTTTCCCAGTGATGGTATAGAAACTTGAAAAAAATCTTCTCTTAAAGACTAAGGCTTGGTTTTCTGATTAGCTCTATAAATGAACTATGACATCTGAATACAACAGGAGATGAATCTAGTAATCAATCTAAAACATCTCTGCCCATAATCCAGATGCCATGAGAGTACTTCAGCTCTTTCTTCCACAAAATCCTAACACTTTAGTTAAGTGCATATCTAAACATAGCTAGTGTGATGCTAGAGAGATAGACACAGGATAAATATACAGGTTTATCTGAAAATACTTAGCAATTTTTTAAATTGTGTCAATCTATCGATGGCTCACACACTATTATAACAGATGCAGGGTACCAAAATGAGGAAGTATATTCTTTTATGTTGAAATTGTATTAATGAAATCCTAAGAAATAAAATTACTAAAATTCAGAACCATGTAACTTATACTAGAGACCTCCAACAGAAGGAAGCAAAGCTCTTTGGGATCCTACAGAAATAAAATAGTATGACGATGTTAAGAGCAAACTGCTTTGTAAGGCAGAGGAGCCCAGCATAATTTTAATGGAAGGAAGACATCAACAGATGGATTCATGGGTTATTTAGTCACATAAAGAATCATTAATACAAGTGGCAATCATTTTGGGAAATACTCCAAATCAAAGACATATATGTATAAAAGTTAACACCAAAACCAAAGCCACTGCTGTCAAGTCAATTTTGACTCACAGTGACCCTATAGGACAGAGCAGAACTATCCCTTAGGGTTTCCAAGGCTACAAATGTTTACAGAAGCAGACTTCCTCATCTTTCACCCACAGAGCAACAGGTGGGTTTGAACCACCAACCTTTTGGTTAGTACCCAAATGCTCCATATAAAAGTTAACAAGGCAACATTAAATGTTGTAATCAAATAATGACCAGATGTCAACTAACTCATATTTGAATATATTTTAATTACTTACATTTACTTTTAACAGCTTGCTGTTTAGTGATGAGTTTTCCAAAAGTTTTCTTTTCCTATGCCTATCAGCTGTGAAAGCTGAGCTATTAAAACACAAACACACGTAAACAGATGGTCAAAAAGACATTAATATATACATGCTACACAGCAGGTTCAAGAATAATCCTGAGATGCCCTAAGGGTCTAGGGCATGGAGCCCTGCCTGGTTGCTCCATCGGGTTACGAAGTGATCCATTAGGCCCACTGGGGCCCACAAGAATCTAAAGTAACTGAAGAATCCAATTCCCTTGGAAATCCCAATGCTTTCCATGTAGTCCACTGCTCCTCCAGCAGGAGTGGGAGTCTGGAACTGCCACCAACAGGTGATTCCCAGCAAAGCTAGCTCAGTAGATGCAGTCTGTGAGATACTCTCTCTACCACCACTCTATGTGCTTAATCAACAGTGAAGCTTCAAAAATGAGAAAACCCAATGCTTACAACACAAATGGAACCCCGGTCTGACAAGATTATTCCAAGGTTTAACATTAAATCTCAAAAAACATATGCTACTTCCTTCTTAATTCTGATAAAGATATATTTTGCTCATTTGTCTTAATAGATTATGATATAACTTGGGTTCAAGGAATGATAAATGAATTATAAGCATATCATATCAAATAATATGAATTAATTTGTTTCAGCTATGCTGCAATGGGTATTCTAAAGCAAATCATAATTAGCACAGAAATTCTAAATTAAAAATCATTATCAATACTTTTCTTAAAAAAATTTATTTAAAATTTATCAGAGAGTAATTCTGATCTTTAAAGGGTCACTTTAAAACTGTGTATCAGGAGAATTAATCTAAAGGAAATAAAAATTATGGTTAAACAACAGACTTCTAAGACTGCCAATTCTTTCCCATTTTCTAAAGTGTCAGGCTAACTGAAAGGAAATCTATAATTATTTTTCTTTCCAGAACTTCCAAATAAGAAATAATGTCTTTGGAGCATCAGTCAGTTGCTTTACACCTAAAAATATTCTTTAAAAACGTGACTTTAGAACTGTGTGTACGTGTTTCTCTGAGTATGGCTGATTCCAAGATAAGAGGAGACCAATTTCCATATATTACCATGGTAAATTATTCCTTCACAAATTCTGTGACTGGAGAAGTTGAATCATAAGCATTGTGTGTGTGTGTGTGTGTGTGTATCTCCACTCAGGTAAGCCTAATACTTAACTTTCAGTTCGATCTATACAAATAAAGCATATAGCTTTTTTTAAATAGAAGTTTTAAAACACTGCCCTCACATCAAGCTCAATTGGCATAACATACTATACAAAACATTGTTCCACCTACTACTTTGGTGAGTAGCGACTGGGACCTTAAAAGCTAGGAAGCTGCCATCTAGATGCAACAACGGGTCTCTCCTCATCAAGAAGAAAG